AACACCTTTAAAGAACCAGGGAGTGGTTCATTCTAGGGGCGACCCCACACCTTTACTGGCTTTTTGCTGTTTGCACCTCCAGTATGAATGCTCTCTATACTGTTTATCCTGAGAAGGGTCACAGGGGGCTGGACCCAATCCCAGCTGACAATGGGCGAGAGGCGGGGTTCACCCTGAACGCCATCTATCTCAGGGCTGACACGTAGACAAACAACCACACACACTCACACTACAGGAGGAAGCCAGAATACCTGGAGAGAACCCACGCAGGCCTGGGCTCGAACCCAGAACCTTCTTGCTGTGAAGCTAACCACTGCCTCACTGTGCCACCCTTCTTTATACGTTGCTAATGTTAATTATATAAGGAGCCACTAACCCTCTGCAGAGGCTTACTGTATTTTGGCAGACTGCAGCTCCTCGTGCTTCTGTTTTAAAAGTGAGGAAAAAAACAGTTATTGTAAATAAATGTCTTAGTTTGTTTAATAGATTTTATAGTTTTGTGTCACTGCCAATGACGTCATCACTCGATCACGAAAAGGTCACTGGGTCGGCCAGAATGTCTGAATTCACACGTGCTTTCCTGGAATGTTGTAACAAGAACTGAGCTCATGGATTGTAGCTTGCAGTATGGCGAAGCGTAGTCGCAGCGTGGCGGCCAGGCGGGCGAAGCGGAGTCGCAGCGTGCAGTGTGGCGAAGCGTAGTCGCAGCGTGCAGTGTGGCGAAGCGTAGTCGCAGCGTGCAGTATGGCGAAGCGTAGTCGCAGCGTGCAGTGTGGCGAAGCGTAGTCGCAGCGTGCAGTATGGCGAAGCGTAGTCGCAGCGTGCAGTGTGGCGAAGAAGCCTTCAGGTTGAACAAATGTTCGTGGAAATAAAAATCTGGATCATTGTAAACTAGTGTGGACATAACTCGTACCTTGACACTGTCTCCGCTTCGTATCGATTGAGTTTAGTCTGGACACTTTTTTGTTGCTCATTATGTGGAGTCAGTTTATTAAAGCAACAAAAAGTTGCATATTAACTAGAAATAAAATTCTACTTTTTCTTCCTGCTTTTTGACAAATTAATCTTTGAGACTGTGCTTTTTTTTCTTTTACACCTCAAAGTAATATGAAGCCCTCACACAAAATCTAATTAGCCAAATTATGATAATTAAAAATGATAAATGACATGTTTTCAATTTTAAAAAGTTTCCTTAACTTAATGTTATACTATATGTAATGACATGTTCTTTTTGGACATGGCAGTGTTTTATCAGTTCTGTCCCATGTTTAGTTCTGTCAGTTACTTTCATCATACACACACACAGTAAACACAGCTTCTTTATCTTTCACACAGACATGTTTCTATCTTCAGACAGACCTTTTATCCCTAATGAATCTGAGCCATGTCTTCGCTGCAGTGACGGTTTTGCCCTTGTAACTGCGATCACACAACATGGAAACGCTGTGGAAACGCACACGGTCACACACAGACGGCTAGCTTCTGCACTAAGTGATTTTCTGTGAAGGGAACATTAAGCTTTGATGAATTTCTGCCTGGAGTACCAGAGTATACACAGCACTTGTGAATCTAAGTGGAATTTGCCTTTGAAATGGGCCCTTTGTGCGACGCACTTAGAGGAGGAGAGGAGCGCTTGCTTTTAAAAGGGACGTTTGGGCTTGTAGGAATGACCCAAAGATGAAAGCAAATTGTCTGAAATTTCTGGTGCCGTGTCTGCAAGCAGGATATTTACCTGTGGTCAGAGCTGTGCAACAACTAGATTGTAGTTAAGTATGTGGGAATATGTGAAAGTAAATGTTTGTGTGTTTGTAAGGGTGCAGCATTGTGTGTATGGGTATTTCTACACACCTCTGAATGTGTGCACTCATACACTCGCCACACAACAGATGGCATCATTGTTGTCAGTGCTTTGAAGAGGCACATGCATTTTAATGAACAGAAATGCAAACACTAAATTAATGTGTGTGTGTGTGTGTATGTGTGTGCTGGATTGTTTCGAAGCTTGCGGCACGATGTGTGTCGTATGTTTTCTGTAACACAGCCCTGCATCCTGTCAGAATCACACCAAAGCACTTTTAACAGAGCTGTAGCGACAGGCACCGTATACCTGAGCTAACCACTGACCTAAATGTAATCCTTAAGGAGAGTTGTTACCAATAACATGACTGGTAATGAGAAATGCTGATCTGGGATCTGGTTGTAGGTGTCAGGGCCCAAGCACAGGCTGTAGAATAAGGATGGATGAATTAATTGTTGGTGATCACATGATGCGTCCTCGGTGCTGTCATGAGCAAAAATTCCTCCAAACGATTAATATTGTTTTCTGTTTGCTGTGTGAAATTAGAGAGTGGCGCACTATTTCCTGACTTTGTTCTGGAGGCTGGCGTCACAGTGCAGGAGACGTGCACATACTCACGCTTAGGAACACTTTAAAAGACATAAACACAAACCTGTCTTTGCTCCTGTGCACGCTGCATGTTGTAAAAGTGACAGATT